GCCCCTGCAGTCGCCAAAACCTTTCATTCCGACCCCGTAAACCTTTCCTTTTCACCCCCGTGAATTTCGCAAGGCACCCAGGACATTGACGAATAATTAATCTCCCCCAGGGCGACCTGGACGGAAAAACGTTTGGACTGAGGCGTGGGCATCAAGGGACACTTGCGACAGTCCAAAAAGATGGAGCCCGACCAGTCCACCATGTAGCGAGAAACGACCTGCGACATGTTCGGTTAAACAAAAAAGGTTCAAAAAAAGGCATTTTGGGTGATGAGTCCCGGTGCTGAGACAGTTGGATCTTTTTAGTGGGGCTTTCCCCAAAAGAACCTCCACTTTCGCCGCACCCGACCTCGCGTGCGGGTCTCACTCCGCTCGGTTCGGCCAGTCTCGCCGCAAAATGTCAGCTTCCGTCAGGAAGGCCTGGTAGAATGCCTTCTTCATCTCGCATTCTTCTTCGTGGTGCTTGGGGTGTCCCGCCAGGTGAGAGAGTGGCCCCACTGAGCGTTGCCAGAGAATGAGACGGAACCTCCGTTGTTGGTCTTGTTGATTCAAAGAGTCGAATAAGGGGTAATTCATTTGGTATACGAAAACCTGTTACTTCTAGCCTTTGAAAGGGCCGAACAGTACCTTCATGTTTGTCGGTGTCGGTATTGTAAGCGATTTGATTTGCCTTCAGTAGGCTTTGACTCGGTTCCGTCTTATAATCCTCTGGCACTTGAACATTCGGTATGTTGAGGGATTTGAAGAGTGTGAGTTGGATGTCCCAGATTACTTGAAGCTGTTGAACCTCATCACGAACTTCAAAGATGCACATGCAGTCCCACCTGAATAGATGACACTCTACAAGGGACAGGGGTTCGTTTGTACACGCGGAAATCGGATCGTCTGTACACGCGGTGACGGAGATCGTCTGTACACGCGGGGATCGTATGTACACGCGGCTTCCGTATGCGGGTGCCTAAGCAGTGGCCATACTTTGGGTTCTTACGGCAGGTGCAAAGGCCGGGTGTTGATCCAGGGTGCTCAGATGTGTGTGAGCCCCACCGCTCCCCACCCACCCAACCCACCCAACCCACCCAACCCACCCCAACCCCACCCCACCCCACCCCACCACCGCACCCTTACTTCAACACTGCGACTGGCTGTCTGAATTCTAGTCAAAGTGAACGGAAGTGGCCGCACCCCGCCCCACCCCACCCCACCCCACCCCACCCCACCCCACCCGATGTGCCCTGTGTGCGCAGATGATCCAGATCTGTGTGCGCAGATGATCCCCTGTCCGCGAAGCATCTATAAGCATCTATGGACCTATGGAGGCTTTGGAGGGTCCTTATATAATTCTTAGGTGGCAGGACAAATCCCACGCAGCACCCGCGACCAATCCCCAAGTCTTGAACGATCTTGGACCAGATCTTGGACCCGTTTTCCAGGTTTGGACGAACCTGGGGGTCTACATTACATCAGAATGGTGCATTTGCCTGGAACAGGTTGGACAATTGGTTTCAGGTTCGGACAATCCACACTCCCTGGAATCGCCCACGTGGATGGCACCAAAGAATCGGATCCCTAAGAAACGTACCTGGACCTTCAAGGGATGTCCTGGCTGGAGGTCCCTTAGTGGTGGGCTGGGGCTTCCAGCCAGGGCACCCCTTGGAAGGTCCTGGTATAGTAATATATATTGGGTCTGTCCGACATGGATGGGGACAGTGGTAAGTGCAGTTGGAGGAGGTTGTACCTATAGATTGGGTTTGTCCATGTCTGTCCGAACTTACCTGTAACAGTCAGGAAACCATTATCATCATTTTGGAACAAGGCCTGGGTTCAGTTCCATCATCATCCACTGGCAACCAGGTAGAGTCGGATAGACGCTTCGGTTATATAGATGAAATCCTCCCAGCGGTCCGGTCAAAGAATGGAATTCCCAGCGGTCCGGTCAAGCTTCGGGTTGGTAGAGTTACCGCATAGCAGATTGAGAGGGAGGGATGGTGAGTTACCGCATGCTATCCTTGGCCGAAAATACAGTGATCATGTGTGATCATCATGAATATAGGGTAGCAATTACTAATGTTTCCACAGAGCTGTTATTGAAGTGGAAGATGAAGTGGATTCCACATTGCGTTCAACAGAGCCCTGAATTGGTAACCATTACTAATGGTTCCACAGAGCTGATACATATGACGTTGAGACATTAAAGTTGTTTCGCCTAGTGGATTCCAAGCCCTTACTATCATAGGCTATCTCTGGTATGTGCTTCATGGATCTCTATGGTCCATGGTGCAATCCTGTTTAGGGACCTCGAAGCCTGTGCTGTGGTTTTCTTTGTTCGTTTGGACACTGCCAAGCACTACGTTTGATCAACGCAAACCACTCCACGCTCCGGAACCCCTTGTTTGCTCGGTCCCCCGTTGCAGGTCCACCCAGCACATTGTTCTGGGCTTGCTTTACTTGTGCCCGGGCACGACGGCGCTGTTCGCTGGTGGAGAACCCGCATGGCCGAGGGAACAGCTGCGACATCGTAAAACCCCCGTGCGTAGGACACCGACATGGCCAACCACATGAGTTTCACGAGTTTCGGTCATTCGACGGAAAAAACAACACGCATCAAGTTGAGGCAAGAGACATGAGATTGACGTGGAAGACATCATTTGTCATCACTTGTCATCACATTTCATGAAAACAAACACTATGGACGAACATCGATGTCTTTGGATCGGGCGAAACACCTGACAGGACCACTGACTGCCTCCGATCTCAGACAGGCTGACACCTCATGCGGCCGACATCCAAACCCACAGCATTCAACGGTCCAAACTCCAAACATGTCCAAACCGTTTTTCGCGCTTTCACCACTTAGTTGATTTCTCCTCTAAACACATAGACACACAGTAACATAGTTATATAGCGTATATAATTTGTAAAAGTAATATTGAAGGAAATTCCCAGATTGCCTAAAGACCATGTTATAGATCCTCCCAAACCCACCAAAAAAGTAACAGACTCCCGATTCAGGAATCGTTCTTCCGTCCAACCGCTCGACCCGAGGTGGTCGGTGCACTGTGCTGTCAGTCTCTCGGCGTCGAGCGACGTGGACACGACCACGTGGTGGCCACTACCACTGGTACTCCAGGATGTAGACTCCTTCCTGGTCAAAACTCCCCCATTTGGATGGGACAAACATATTGATAAGGGGAGGTGATTTAATCAAACATCTGGATTAGATGGCAGGGGCCGGGCCTGAAAGTTGGGTGGTTCATATGAAAGGCTATGGACTCTATGGACCCCATCTAAAAGACATCCTGCCTCGGGGTGCCTTTGTCATCGAACCTCTGAAACCGCATGATTTCGATGGTAGGCCCCCAAGAGCTCCAGATGGGGTTCACGCAGCTGCCTTTCATGCTTCCTATTTGGATGTGTTTTGTTGAAATCCAAAACACCTTTTATCGCCCCCCAACCAGGGTGGTCTATATTCCGAAGCAACCTTCCAGCATATCAAACTGGAAGGTCTCCCCATTACACACCTATATGGTGTATTTGTATATTTAATAGGTTCCAGTCCCAGACAGGTCTTTGGGTGGTGGCTGAGACCTTGCGTCCCATCCAGTGAGTGGATATGACTTATGACCCTCCAAGGTTTGGCTGGCATCCACTGGATGGAACGAAAAACCGTCCGCCATGCAACTGCAGGAAGGTATGCATGTTTGTCTTCGTGCAGCGTGTCCGTGCCCAAAGTGGAACTACAGAAGTGACAACAAAATCAACGCAGAAGTTGACATCAATCACCTTTTGTTGTGTTGTTTTCTTGAGCTTTGCCCAAAGACTGTCCACCAGAAAAAGTTAAATCTTTTGTGAGGTCTAATATGCAGATCGATTTAATTTTGGGGCCTGTATGTCACTGCTATACAGATGTTCTACATACTCCCGCCCTATTTTGCTCTCTCCCAAGATCCCCAAAACGGACGACCCACACCTGGCATTGGCGTGACGAGTGCTTTCTCGTCCACGTCTTCTCGTATTTTTCGAAGATCAACCGTAATCAACCTCCTCGCGGCTCGAGGTATTCCACAGCACAGGGAGCGGAGAACTGCATCGAACGCGTGATTGTGGACTTGGTCCTTGCACAGGTGACCCTTTCAGGCCGCTGATTCCATCGATTCCATCGACGCATTGACACAGATCGGTTTGCTGGGTCCGCTAACCGGTGGACGGTGGACGGTTTGGAACTGGAGAAGAGGCTAAGAATGGTACGTCCCTCCTCAGTACCTTTCCCTATAGGAGAAGGGGCGGCCACTCCACTTGTATGCCTGGAGAAAGGATTTCTGCAAACTTCAGAGGTCAGCTTTTGGCCGGCAGACGGACACGCCCGAAAGAAGGCGAAAGACCGAAGGCCTGTCCTTGAAAAGGCGGTTTCTCAAGTGAGACCCTTAAGCCTTAGTCCTTTTTGTGGTGGTTTTACAAGGGATATAAACCACTAAAGGTGAAACAGATTGGTAAAGCCTTAGGAAAGGACCTATGGAAAGCCAAGGTGGAAGAATCATGTGCGGCGTTGCACATCGGGGAAAACACTGAAGGAAGTTCGGAAGTGACAGGTTCCTAGTAGCGTATTGTTCCTAGTAGCGAACCTTGTTACTACTAGTAAGGCACTTGTTACTAGAAGCGATGCACCTGTTCCTAGTAGCTTATTGTTCCTAGTAGCGAACCTTGTTACTACTAGTAAGGCACTTGTTACTAGAAGCGATGCACCTGTTCCTAGTAGCTTATTGTTCCTAGTAGCGAACCTTGTTACTACTAGTAAGGCACTTGTTACTAGAAGCGATGCACTTGTTCCTAGTAGCTTATTGTTCCTAGTAGCGAACCTTGTTACTACTAGTAAGGCACTTGTTACTAGAAGCGATGCACTTGTTCCTAGTAGCTTATTGTTCCTAGTAGCGAACCTTGTTACTACTAGTAAGGCACTTGTTACTAGAAGCGATGCACCTGTTCCTAGTAGCTTATTGTTCCTAGTAGCGAACCTTGTTACTACTAGTAAGGCAGAAGCGATGCACTTGTTCCTAGTAGCTTTTTGTTCCTAGTAGCGAACCTTGTTACTACTAGTAAGGCACTTGTTACTAGAAGCGATGCACTTGTTCCTAGTAGCTTATTGTTCCTAGTAGCGAACCTTGTTACTACTAGTAAGGCACTTGTTACTAGAAGCGATGCACTTGTTCCTTGTTAAGGCACTTGTTTCTAGAAGCGATGCACTTGTTCCTAGAAGCTTATTGTTCCTAGTAGCGAACCTTGTTACTACTAGTAAGGCACTTGTTACTAGAAGCGATGCACTTGTTCCTAGTAGCTTTTTGTTCCTAGTAGCTAACCTTGTTACTACTAGTAAGGCACTTGTTACTAGAAGCGATGCACTTGTTCCTAGTAGCTTATTGTTCCTAGTAGCGAACCTTGTTACTACTAGTAAGGCACTTGTTACTAGAAGCGATGCACCTGTTCCTAGTAGCTTATTGTTCCTAGTAGCGAACCTTGTTACTACTAGTAAGGCACTTGTTACTAGAAGCGATGCACTTGTTCCTAGTAGCTTATTGTTCCTAGTAGCGAACCTTGTTACTGCTAGTAAGGCACTTGTTACTAGAAGCGATGCACTTGTTCCTAGTAGCTTATTGTTCCTACCTCCCCGGAATGTAGAATGAATCCCTATAGGGCTCCAACGATGAATTGCTAGGGCTCCGAACGTCCCAGATCAAAGAAGATGGTCAGAGGTGGGTGCCAGGGGGTCTGTCTCATGGTTTGTCCCTACGTTTTGAATCTTTTTTAGGATATGGGACATTCGGAGCCCTAGGGAATACAACCCCTAATGTGGAGAGGTAGGAGTCTCCTAAAGTTGGGTGGTCTTCCATCCAGTGAGTGGATATCCACCTTGGAGGCATGGAACTCCTGTGGGGGAAGCAAAACAGAACACCCGCAACCGGCCCGTTCGGGTCGGTTGGAACAGGGGTCAGTGCCAACCAATACTGAATCCTGGGCGTCCTGGGATGGTTTGAGGGGTATCTACCCGGATCCTACTGCCTTCTGAGAAGGTGATTGGAGACAGGCACCTGGGTCGGTAATTATGCCGATCCCTTGGGCCTTCTTTCAAAATATGTGGATCCGGGCTAGAATGACCCACCGAAAACCGTCCGAACGAAGAGGTTCTCTGGGGCCGGGGTGTTTCGTGGGTGCAAGAGATGGTTCTTAGCATCGAAGGGACCCTATAGTGCCCTAATATAGAAATCCAGTTTGACTATTTGGGGCGCCACCGAAGTAAAGGACACTCCTTTCGTGTCGCCGAAAAGAACTAAAAAACACATCAAACAGGCACCAAGGGTTGACAGGAGATACCTCACAGCATCTCTGGGCTTAAGACATCGATTTCGACCGGAGGTTGCGGGAAGCACCGAAAGGAATGAAGCTGAGCTCTTTGGGTAACCGTAGGATACGGTAGGGACTGCTTTGGGTAACTGCATGATCGTCTCAAAATCTCGGTGAAGATGCATTCAGAGGCTTCAAAAGTGCAAGCTCAAATGCGTTACTGCATACCTCCCTCCACCTATAGCCAGCTTGAAGATCTGGAGTCGCATGTAGTTATCAGCTTTTCTATAAGATCTTTGAGCAGGTATTTCAGAGTAGGCAACTCCGATATGGGTGTTTGCCTTGGTAGCGGTCTTAAGTGCTTTGCTTCTACCCCCTTCTAAATCACATGCATTAGACAGAAACAAACACCCAGGGCTTTTAGGGAGTTTCGGGGGTGTTCGTTTTGGAGCCAGTCAGACAACATGAAGATGCAAAGATGCAGTATTGTTGTATACCAGCACCGCGGAAAGGGTGGTTTATGGACACTGACATCCTCTGACGATGTCTTTCCCATCCAAAAACCCACCCCTTCCGTGGTGCTGGTATAATATGTGAACAACATTGAACAACCAGCCATTCTGATTTATGCCATTTGACGCACGTGATGCTGGGAGGCATGGGCCTTGACCCTATCAGCATCGGCAACTCGACGGCACGTTGAGCAGTTGGAGGGGGCTTTGGATGGAGGCAATTGGAAGGTGGAACGAGGCACATCAGAAGACTTTAGATTTGGAAGGATGCATCCAAGATCATCCAAGCAGGTGTGATTTATTTTGTTTCAACCAGCCAGGGAACAAAGGCCGCACTTTGGGTAGGCTCTTCGGCTCATCATAGCTGTGACTCCCTGCAAATATCCACTGACCATTTCATGTCCTGCCGAGCCGCCAACGGCCAGCCATCTTCCAGGAAGGTGAGGACGAAAAAGTCCCATCTCCACATAACAGTAACTGAACAACCACCTTTCTGGAAAACAAACGGGCCAAGTGGGCCAAGTTGTTTTCCCCAGTTCGGTTCCAAACCTTTCTATGTTCTTCTCACCCAACACGCAAAAGACACCTGCCATGCATCATTTTATACCCTAAGAATCGGCTCCCGAAAGCAGAACAAAGGGGACCCGAACGGCCCTTCGGTTCCGACGGTCCAGGTCGGTGTCGCGAACTGCGGTGTCGGTGTCGGTGTCGCGAACTGGCAGGCCTTCCGAGCCAGCTGCCAACGGCCATGGAAGAACCAATATACACATAAATAAACCATATGAGCCACGGTCAAAACATGCGAAGACCACTTTAGTAAAGAGGGGTAGGTTTTGACCGTCCCTCATATAATTCACATCATGATACATCATAATACATAATACGTGCCATCCACTCACCAGGGGCTGCTGAGCGATAGAGATTTGTTCAAAAATCACCTGGGCCATGAACACCATTGGATCTTCTATGCAAAACTGCATGCCTCAATTCTGGGCTATGAAGGCAGACATGTGGACATGTTCTCGGAAGATCCAGATCATGTCAGTGTCACTTATCCCATCTTTTTGTCCCACCTTCATGCAAATCTGCAATAGTTTGCATACCAGGATCAGCCCGTTTTCTGGGTGTCCTGGAAGGGACATCTCTTTTACGGTAGCTAGGGTAGTCCAGCTAGGACACCCAGATGGTCTGGAACCCACCACTGGCGATGGACCCGGACCGGCCCGTCACGGCCACGGCCGGCGTACCCGAGGCATTTGGACATTGATCTCTTTGGGGCTTTGCTTTGGGCTTTGTAGCTCTGAGGCGGAAGAGTTCGTTCGATCCGATGTCTTGGACGAGATGGGCCAGAAGGGATGAGAAGGGTACCTGTTCTAGTAGCATGAGAACCTGAGAATAGCCATCAGATCCATGGATCTGCGCCTTCAAAGTCGCCCACACGACTGGTGGGCTTTTGGTGGTGGAATGTGGGTCATACGAGCACTCATCATATGTCCTTATACATGGATCTTCTGGGATAGGTCAACCCATCTTTGGTCATTTTAGTGAGGACATCCCTGTAGAAATTGGTTGGGTTGACGACCGGTTTTGGTCCCCCGTTTGGAGTCAAACGCATCCTGCGGCCAGGCGGGAGAACACCCCTGGTTGACCTGGTGTTTTTCTGTTTCGGGTGGCCAGGACAGTCTGGGTGCCATCGAGGCACCTGGTTCCTTTCGGACGACCCTGTCTCCGGAGACAACGAAGCATCAAAGCTGCGGGGACCACAATGGGAACCCACAGGCTGGAGATCCCCAGCCAGACCTTTTGGGTGTGATCCCACACCCTGATCAGACACTGTGGGTTTGATGTATTTTGAACATTGTCTTAGAAGGGAATGAAGATGTTGAAGATGTTGCTGTTGAGGCACGCCTAGACTCGGGTGCGGATGGTTTTTCAGCGCATCACATGGCTGCGCAGTGACCCAGTGCTTCTTGCACAGCAACTTGCTTCTGCAACTTGCATAGCAACTGGCAGCACCGGCAGACCATGTGGTAGGCACGAACATTGGCCACCATGCGGCCGGGACAACGCCTCGCGCCGCGCCGCAGTTGGTGGCAGTTCCCAGCACCTTGGACCTGCTCCCACTGTTGGTGCCTTTATGTGCCGCTGCTGGGGAACAGGATGGGAACAAGGGGGTTGGTTGGGGGGGTTGGGAGGTTGGTTTCTCAGCGAAGGTGAATTGAAGGTGGTGAAGGTATGTGAAGGTCGTGAAGATGATCGGTTCATTGACAATTCTGGGCATATCGAACAACCATGAATCGTCTCCCCAGCGCTGGAAGACTCCTCGGGTCAGACCCAGCCGCTGGTCGGAGAGCTGGTCCAAACGGTGGCTGTGTTCCAGTTGCGGCCCAGCACATACTGTCTTCCAGTAGCATGCCGTCATGAGAAAGTGGGATGCCTAATTATATATAACTCTAATTAGATATTGTAATATCATAATCTATCCTAATTACTTATATATACATATATTAATATTATCGATATATATATATATTTATCAGAAAGGCCTGTTGTGAGCAGCAGACAATTGACTTTTGCGGAAGATATTAAAGTATAATCTGACATTGTGAGCGGTGAAGTTTAAGTTTTTTGAGGTAGACATTCAATGAAGCAATTGTGAAATTAGAATTGAATTGGAATTCAATTAGAAGTGAATTACAATGACAGTAGAATTCAATTTAGTAAACCAAGCCCAAGTCCACAAGACGGCGGAACAACTTGCGAAGATCATTGTGGTACTCAGACGGACTTGGGATATTCTCAGGGCCCGCTTTTGGCTCTGACTACTCTACAGGTGACTGCAGCACGCTAGCCGCCGACCAGCACGCTTAACTGGAGGGTTGTGGGTTTGTCAGGTTGCGCACTGCTCTCTGCACAAACTGATTTCTCATGCGTGGCTATGCGCAATTCGAGCAACTTCTGCAAACTCTTTGATCAGGAGGAAGAAGGTGGACGTGTGCACAAGTGCCATGGCACGTGAGCGAAGTGAGGGTGGATCTATAACCAACCCGCCCCTGAAGTGGTGTGAGGTGTCAGAAGCGTGATGTTTTTATTTTGCTTGGGTGAATCAGGAGAGGGCACCAAGACAGATCTGTTCATGAGAAGAGGCCCCAGAAGATTGGATCTGTGTGAGGAGACACCAAAGAATTTTAAGGCTCCTTATCGTGAGGCGGGCCAAACCTCTTCATGCGGAGGGCTTCTTGGATTAAACCTCTTCATGTTTGTGTGTGTCACACTCTGTTCCAAAGAGTTTCTGTTCTGTTCAAATCGCAGGGGGCTAGCGGCCCATTTCTCGACGCTAGCCAACGAAGCTAGAGAAATGGGAGGATGAGTCTGTGGACGCACAGACTTGTACCTGCTGAGCAACTGTTGACCACGCTGTTCCACTCTTTGTTTGATTCATGGTTCTTGCGTGCTACTCCCCCAAAATCCTGGGTTCTGCAGCTGCGCCGAGCCGCTTGTTCGCCAACGCTGAGCTCTGCCGTCACGCACGAGCAGCTTGTCCAACCTTTCAAGTGAACCGACTTTCTCGCCATGCCGTTCCCTCAGTCATTTCCTCTGGAAATTGATGTAACTGCAAACCCATTATCTAAGTGTGTTGCCGCTTTGTCGTCCCACTGGGTGCAGAGAGTGTGATCCCCGTCGCTGGGGTGCCGGCTTCACGCCGGATTATCTTTTTACTGAATATGATGCTTTCTGCACGCGTTAGATTATCTTGACAGATTCTCTTTTCACCCACTGTATTCCTAAAATCAAAACTGCCGAGTCTACGGTGTCTCTTCACCGCCGGGTATACGGAGAATACAGCCCGAAGAGTTTTCTACCCCAAACACCCCAACCCCGCCTCCCTCTAATTAGGGTAACAGACGGAAATGGTACTCGACACACTTGTGTGTCGGTGCCTTTCCCTCTGTTGTCCCGTTTCTAGTCTACCCTACCCGGGCGGTTTAAGACTAAAGTCCCGTAACTACTGCACTTAATTCATTTCTGCTAAGTAGTCAGTAATTCTAGAGTGCTAGGTATTCATACACACACACACGGACACACACATGTACATACACCTTCCTGCCCCCCCACTTTCTTTCTTACGCTTTTTGTCGTTTCTCGGGCTTTCTTTCAGGCTTTTTAGGTAGTTCTTGAGGCTCGTTTCCCTACCCCCGTCAAGGGCTAAGTATTCACTTTTTGCTACTCCTATCTTTCGTTCTTGCCCTTTTAGTGCTGCTGGTTTTCTTTCTCTTGTTTCTAAGGCTTTTTAGGTGCCTATTTAGGCTTTCCGCGAGAGCGCTGCAAAGCGGCCGAGTGTGTGTGTCACACTCTGTTCCAAAGAGTTTCTGTTCTGTTTAAATCGCAGGGGGCTAGCGGCCCATTTCTCGACGCTAGCCAACGAAGCTAGAGAAATGGGTGGATGAGTCTGTGGACGCACAGACTTGCACCTGCTGAGCAACTGTTGACCACGCTGTTCCACTCTTTGTTTGATTCATGGTTCTTGCGTGCTACTCCCCCAAAACCAGCTGCGCCGAGCCGCTCGTTCGCCACCGCTGAGCTCTGCCGTCACGCACGAACAGCTTGTTCAACCTTTCAAGTGAACCGACTTTCTCGCCATGCCGTTCCCTCATTCATCTCCGCTGGGAATTGATGTAACTGCAAACCCATTATCTAAGTGTGGAACAAACGGAGTCAACAAAGCCCAAGTATTTCTAGCAATACCAAATCATTTCCCCTAGAATTTTGTAGGTTGGTGAGGCTCCAAGTATGTATGACCACAAGGTGTTCCCACTTTCTCACAAAAGCAACTCCACCGGTCTCGGTGCCCTCGCAGAGGCTTCTACGGAGTACCCGAGCCTCAGGGCGGCGGGATGGGGCACCGTGAAGTGGCTCCATTGGAACCGGCAAAAGCAACCAAACACCAAAGTTAAGGGTTCACTTTCAACATAGATCACAATTTGACAGGTTATTCTATCTACTGCGGGGGACTCAACTTACCCAAGCACGGTGAAATACAACAGCGATATTTAACCTAGTCTTCCATTCCATGGAATGCCGCAACGTAGTCTCTGCGACAAACACACAATATCAAACAAATCAGTGTGGGCTATAAGGGCTACAAGGCTAAGCCAACGATTCCGCCCCAAAGAAGCAACCAACCACACCCGTTGTCCGGACGTTAATTGCTGGTCCAACAGGCTTTTCGAGGAGAGCAGGGAGCTTCTCCCTTAAAGGAGGGGTGCAGTGATGCCCCGGTAGGTTCGGATGGCACGCGGGAACCTAATTCCCATCGTAGATAGCTTGTGGGTCGACGTTAACCCCTCCAATTAATCAGCTCGCGTCCTGCAACCCTACCCAACAAATCACTTCTTCAAACTCCCACACAAAACCCCCCCATAATCCCTCTATTCGTACCCTCTATTTTTATCTATTTTCATGAGTACTTCATCTGTGAGATAGGAGAGATTTAAAGGGATCCCTCGTGTCATGAGAGGCATAATCTTGGACGCCTCCGGGATTGAATCTTTGGGGCCTCTCGGCCTCCTTTGCGCGGCGCATTCCGAGCCGAATTTGTATTCGTCGGGAAATGTCAGCCGTCCGCCCAACAGCGTCCTCTAGCTGACACTGTGGTGAGGGAGTGCATGGTTCCACCAGTCGGTGAATCACTGAGCACTCGCCAACAAAACACATGATAACAGACATGTGCCTTCGGATAGAGTGTAAACAGGGGCCGGCTGGCTTTCTGCCAAACTTCGTCAAGAAGCGCACGCTATTATAGCGTCCAGCATAGGTAGCTTCATATGCTGTCAAGACTAGCGCCGTGTGCAAGAATGGTGTAGGTGCAGAAAGAGACTGCACTGCTGAAAGGGGCTTTTGCCAAGACACCTGTATCATCCGACGCAAGGTCTTTGAGGAGTTAGTTGCTCTACCCGGTACCTAAAGAAAAAACACCGTAGTCAATGCACCTTTTGACCAGCTTCCTGTGGGCCTGGTTTGACATGTGCTCGGAGCTTGTGTATAGAGGAAGCAATGTGTTGTTGATATAGTTGCCATGGCCATCATTTTGCCTCAAGCTGTGTTTCTGTGAGACTGTGAGTCGAAAAGTGTCTTCGACCTCCTTTCCTTTCCTGTGAACTTTGCTTGCCATGGCTTCTAATTCTACTACACCTGCGGCTGAGCCACACAGCCTGGTCGCTGTTCTGGTTTTGGCGTGCGTGCGGAGTGCTTGAGAATGTAAAATCTGTACTATCGCAGGATCCGGCATCCCACCTTTACAGCATCGCTGTATATTCGTTGGCTTTTTAGGTGTGCGTGGGGCCCAGCTACCCCTTGACTCTTGGCAGAGTCCTCCAAAGCAAGAGCAGTTTCCTCCTCTGGACCTGCAATCATCACTGGCTTATTTTTTTCCTTGCATTCTTCTTGGGCACTGCCTTTTTCTTCTGCTCTCCCTTCTTCTTCGGCTTTGTTTTTTCTCTTTGCATATCTTTTCCAAGTTGTCTTCATCACAGTCGGTCTCCTCATCTGTAGTCTTGAAGGGCTTAACAGGATCCGTTTCTTCGTCCAAAGCTTTGAGCACATAGTCCCGCAGTGCATTGCGCACAGGCGTAGCAACAGGTCTTGCCTTTGGCGGTTCCTGTGCCTCCTGCTTGTTTTTTGCAAGATTCACTAGAGCTAGGCGCAGTTTGTCCCAATCAAAGCCATCTGCAGGCACTACTTGCTGCAGGTCCTCTGAAGTGGCTTGCGCTGGTTCCTCTGCACCCCCATGGCTGGGGTCAACACCAGCAGCAACCAGCCTCTTTTTGAGTTCTGCTATTGAAGCAAGCTTTGCTCCAGAAGGCGTCTCGCGAAAAACTTTGCGGAAGCGTTCCGCAAGTTTCTTTGAAGCTGCTGGCATCCGGTCACAGAAGTCAGACAGAGCTACCATGGTAACGCCAAGTGGTAGCCTGTCTTTGTAGAACTGCTTGATGGCTTTGCTGATCACATCCCCACTGAGCCGGATCCATGGTGTAGTGATCATGATAGCATAGATCACCTCCAGCAAACAATCCATCAACTCATTCTCACAAGCAATGCACTCAAAAGAGACTTTAAGGCCTCAGTGTTGATTGCGCAAT